TATGGGGGGACGAGTGGGTCCTCTGACAGATCGGTGCACGCGCCTATGCCACAATATAATAAATCAGTTAAGCTTTAACCTTGCGAATGAAAGTGGGAATTACTGGGTCGTAAGAACCGTTACTCATTTTGCCGGAATATGCCCTTTAAAGGTGTTCCCAAAAAGGTTCGTTCGAAAGCCGGTATTCTGACGTGAATGAGATATCTGAAGATTTGGCTGCATGATAGTCAATATTACATGTTTACTTAAGTAATTTATTTCTAGGCAAAAACACCTTTCAGAGATTCGGTTGAAATTTCACAAGATCGGAGATCTACTGTACGCCTAAGGCAGTGCAGACAAAGGCTTTAACCTGCTATTTATTATAGTTCTCCAAACTAAAGCATGCGTAAACCTGTAAATTTTAACATAAAATGATGATAATTGTGACACTCCGCTTTTGAAGTAAAATGCACGGCTGCCTGATAAGTCTTTGAGAGTAAATAGTGAAGATAGGTAAGCACGTTAGGTCAGCTAAACCCTCACTTCAGTGTCGGCGTCATGTCGTGCTCTGATGCTTCGCCCTTTATCGCCGAGTAACGAGAAGACATCAAGGAGTTTAGGACCATCAGCTTTGGGCATTAGCAGATCCTCGTCGGGGGCAGTAAAGACGAAAAACTGGTGTTGTAGACCACTGAGCAGTCGAGACTTCGTGTGGTCCAGGTCATTCTGAAGTCTTCGGGCCTCTGCAATCTGTGCTTCCAGTTCTTCACGCTTACTTCGGAGAGGAAACTGAAAGGAGTGGGCAAGGGGCCAAAGTAGGTGTTAAAGTGTAAAGTGTTAAGTATTAAATAAGGACCCAGCATTCTAAGTGGATTTATCAACAAATGAATTAAAGATTCTCTTACGAGATTTGTTAAGATAAGCAAAGAATATGAGTGAATTTAAAAAGATAGAATGCTGATATAATGTCGTAGAGCTTGCAAGTAATTCATCCGCTGCTGGTGTTCTGATTCAGGGACATTTCATTTGAAGTTGTAATGCGGAACCGGGATTTTGATCCCCAGTGACTGAGCAACGTTTCTGTCTTTGCACATTTATCATGTAGTCAACAAGTAAAATAACGGCCCCGTGTTCGGCAGACAGACAAAATTTCAAGATGAAAAAGCTGCATCTGCTCCTGTGTTTAGGGAGTGTCTTCTTTACTTCCTTTGCAGAAATCGAAATTATGTAGTCATATCAGTCAGTGCCTTTTCTCCCTAAAGTAGCCTTCTATTATTATTATTTTTTAGTACATTTTCCTTCTCCATCACAAAATAATCTCAATTCTCACCGCTCTCCTAACTAATTGCAATTTCGCCAACACTGGCCTGGCCGACACCATCACCACCAGAGCTATTTCGGCCGTCGCAAGCAACGACGTTGGCGTAATTGTTAATCATACGTAAATCTGTTCACGGTAAAAAGCGTTTGTTACACTTGCTCCGATGACATTTCAACTGTCAATTCCAACGAGGCCCACGATATACTCCACAGGATGGCGACTTGCGTGTGGATTAGATTTATGTGATGGTATACTTGCGTTGCATCTTACACATTCCTTCCTTCTGCATCCACTCGAGCCCGGTGCCAAGTCGGAGTCAAGAGGGCCGGAGGCACGATCGGGCGCAGGCGACTGAAAACGCTGTGTCTAAATCAGATCTCATGGAATGGAAGTTCCATAAAGGCCACGGGTGGTTGGTGCCTGAGTCGGCATATGCGCGTGCTATCAAAGCTCATTTGAAGTGGCATCAGTCGGAATCGAATGGAAGCGTCCAATTTCGTCGCTTTTTGTTTTCCCTTCTCCAATATTTCCATCAGGAACCATAGCTTATACTACTTTCTGTCTTTGCTAACGGCATTGAAAAGTTTCTGAAGGGTTGAAACACTAAGTCCTGTTTGATGGAGCCAACCTTGAAAGTGACGTAGTAAAACTAATTTCCTACGATGTGGTCTCCTTATTCAGATGCTCCCAGCATGCTTACTCCCGATCTGATGATAACAGCGTCTTTCAGATAACACAGAAAAGGCCTGGGCTGATGGCGGCTTTTTGACTAAACACTATGCGGAGAAACAGAAAGTCAATAAACTAGATAATTGCCAATAAAAGCGAGCATGCAAGTCTCAGGGAATAATTGAGAAGAAGAAGAAGAGGCGATCGCCGGGACAAGACTTTTATTCGCCTTTGGGCACGATGCGCTCCGATCGGCCTGACGATGGGAAACTTTTAGTCTTAGTAAGACCTCAGCCTATGCACAGATCCGGTTTCCTCACAAGCGTCTTGCCAAGAACTTGTTGTCGAAGTGTCTATAGGGTCTGGTACAGTTACAGACAAAGCAACTATCTCGGAGAAACTGGAAGACTTCTTAAGACGCTAATCGCCGAACACGCGGCAGCAGTCCGGCGAGACGATGCCAATTGTCAAGATGCGGCTCATTCGACGACATCCGGCAACACGTTCAAAATTGGTGAGGCCAAAATTCTCGCGAGAGGTGACAATCGTGTGAACCGCGAATTACTTGAGTCATAGTTCACGGCTCCCCGATCTATAAACAAGTGCAACCATCTGCCAAATCCATACTTGGTGCCGAGGCTCAATTTGGTCGAAGCAAATCACCACTTGGAGGACGCACAGGCCAACGCGTAGTCTTACGCCAACGCCGGGGAACCAGATGGCCGAGCAGTAATTACAGGCGAATAGAATTCTTGTCCGAGCGAGCGTATCGTCTTCCTCTCGAACTAAATAATGCATTTACAATTTGATTATGGTTGGATATAGCTGCAACTCCTACACATCGTGAACATGATAATGCTGTGTGAAACAGCTCAAAATTACAGGCTGCCCAGCCTATTGGCATCTTATGAGGAGAATTAGTAAAGGGCTAGGGAATATGGGGACTTGCAGCCCATGCATCTTTCAAAATATTTCCGCTCATGATAAGGCAATATAAAGGCCAAGAATAAGTAGCAAGGCAGCATTACTCGCTTTTCACGTGCTGAAAAAGACTTAAGGTACGTATTGCTTCTTAATATGAAAATTCGTTGTACAGACCCCAGAGAAACAGCCCTCGTAGAGTGGTAAACTATAGCAACCCTCTTCCAAACAACACTAATGAATCCTCAAAGTTCCTTTAGGGAAAATTGTACCGAACGCTTAGTGACGTGACTGTTGCACTTCCTTTAAGCTTGTCTGGAAACGGAAAAGGGCTGAGGAGGGCTGTGGAGATTTGACTTACTAGTTCGGCATCCAGTTCGATTTCCGTCGTGTGTTCATTCGATTTGGGGGAAGACTTTTGCATGTTATCCGAGGTAGGGGTCGCAGTGGCAGGGTCCACCGATGGTCCCGATGAGGGC